TTCAGCAGTTGGAAGAAATTGGCTGGAAAATGCGAGGAAGTGGGGGGAGCTGGGCTGTGGGATGCTTTAAACTGTAAGAGATCAGGATGCACGAATGTTTCCTCTTCTCTCTTCCTTGGAGTAGGTCTTCATCCTCAGGAGACCGTCCTCAGAGTGAGTGAGGGGTCTGCAAGAGGCAGAAAGCTGGGGTGCGACTGAACCCTCTCCCCCAAAACGGTCCCGGGGGGTTTTGCCGGTTGCTGCAGGGAGTGTTCGTGCGAGTATTGCATTTCAGAGACGTGACACAGAGGCAGCGCAGGGAGCAGCGGGAAGGACCCGGCGTTCGTTAAGGAAGGACCTGCCAAAATCTGTCCCTTTGAGCGGGGTGGTGCCCGGGGGTGGCGGAAGGGCAGGGATAACCGTGCGCTTGTGCAACCGGGCTCCTCCAGCACACCTGGAGAGCGCACAGAGCCACGGGCTTAAGGTGTCGAGCTTTTATTAGCTAGGTGTAACATCCTGATTCATTTGTGAAAACAAACTATTTCAATGCTGCTACAGGGCTCAAGAGACCTTCCATTACCTGGCTTTGCCTCAAGTAGAGGAAAGCAATGTTTGCTGAACACCCCTGTCTTTGTGCATCTTTACCGATAATATATTCCCTAAGAAGAGCAATGAATATTAGCCTTTCTTTTGTTCCCAGCCTGCTTAAGATGCCTTTAATAAATTAAAAAGGCAAATCTAGCTTCAGCTATATGCAGGTGTGGTGGTGTTGCCTTACAGCAGTAAAAAGTAGTGTGTGATAATGTGAAGTGTGTATTCCAATGCATATGTATGAGAGGCACAGAACTAAAATGATACAACTTCAATTTTCACTATTCCTAAATCCTTCTCAAACTACATAATCGCCTCTTTACCTCAATTTGGGAAGGCTGATAGCATAACACGTCCCTATTAGCATTTTTACCTCCGTGCGTATGATCTGCGTTACTGCACTTGAGCCGTTCCCATTAAAGGTGGTGCCGCGGAGCCCCAGGAACGGGGTGGAAGGAGCACGTGGAGCAAGGGAACCCGTTTCTCCCTTCAGAAAATACACCCGCAGGGCGCCGTGAGCGGAAAGGTGCCTCGGAGACACATCCGAAAGATGGTTTGGGTGACAGGGCTTCCCGAATACTTGGCAGCAGAAATGAACGGAGCATTGCAGGGCGCTTCCAAAGCTGAAGCATGGACAAGAGGACATTGTGCTGGAGGATGGTGCCGTCGTCGTCACCCCTGGCTGTGTTCTGGCCTGAAAGAGGCAATGGTTGGTGGCTCCTGTGTTAACTGGTTAGCCAAGGACATCGACTGGGGGCAGACACAGCCTTTTATGATCCCATCAGAGGGCCTGAAATGCTGTGTACTGCAATAGCATAAAGGTGGCTGTTAAATGGTTCCTGGCTAGTTGAAGTCTGCTTATAGGACCTCAGAAAAGCTTTGAAACTTGTGAATGATATAATGTTTATCTTCTTAACTGTGTTTTAGAAATTCCTGTTATTATTTTTATGACAATTTGCAGATTTTTGTTCTTTCCAGTTGTTTTTTGTCATGTCAAAAGACATGAAGAGACGGTCAATGGAGGGAAAACAAATAACAAATGTAGTTGAAAAGACTTCTTGTGAAACTATTCTCTATGTGTTAATTTACTTTGAGAAAGTCACTTCAGACAAAGATAGTGTGGCTTTCGTCATTTTTTTTCCGTTGCATATGAATCAATGCAGAATAAATGCTTTCTTTTTTATTGTAAATTTTTATTTAGTTGGAAAATAGAATGGATCTTGCAGTAACCAACCCTGCCAATGATAAAGAAAAGTCATACATGGATTTAGAAAGTAGTTTATATAGGAATGACATGAAAACTGCACTTGTCCAGACTGCTGTTCTTCAGACTTCAAATTTCTAGCTGTTCTAGATGTTTTTTTTTTTCTTCCAGCTGCTTAGAGCTAAGTGCAATTCATTTCACTAATTGTGTTACACTCAACTTTCTTGATTAGTGGTAATACATATGAAATAGTTAAAAATGTATTCTGGTTTATTGTTGGCTAGGCCTGAATTTGATTTAATATATTCAAGCACTTTAAAAAGATAGAAGGTTTATGCGGGAGGGGGAAATATTTAGTATACGGTTTACAACGTTAAACCAAAAGGCACTTATCCCAAAAGAAAGGCTTTATACATACGTGCTATTAATATTTGTGTTATTAATAAGTTAACATGTATAAGCACACCGTATTGAGAGAGAATATTAAGTTTGCAAAGTCAAGCATTGCCAAATTAAGGATGCCGAAGTTGATACAGCTTTTGGTGCATAATCCATTGACACAGAACTTTAAACTGAAGCTTGCTGCAGCATAGTGCTTGCACTGCCTCTAGTTTGTATCACTGTACTTATCCAAAGGTTCAGAGATATTGGAGATATGTGTCATTGATTTTGAGGGCACGACACTGTTGTCATCCTGTTTACTTGCTGCTCAGTAGAAGCAGGCGCTTTGTTTCAGTTTTGTAGCAGCAGAATAATAGCGGTAGTCCAGAATCTGGGATTCATTTTAGGCTGGACACTGTTGTCATCCTGTTTGCTTGCTGCTCAGCAGAAGCAGTTTTGTAGGAGCAGAATAATAGTGGTGGTCCAGAATCTGGGATTCATTTTAGGCTCTCTGGCCTCTCTGGTCCTCATTTCTACTGCTTAGCTCCTCATGCAGCCTTAGGGACTACAGGGAGATCAGAAATGGGACCAGGTGCTGATGGAGGATAGTGGTTGGAGGCAGATGTTCTGCCAAAGCAGGAAGAGGAGTCTGTGTGCAGGGAGGCTCGTTCCCCCGCCAGAGAGCATCCCACGTTCCCCACATGTCCCCTGAGTAAAGATGCTCTGAATGTATAGACGGCTCTGGAGACTGCATGCGAGCAGGCTGCTGCTCCAGAGCTGGGCAGTGTAGCAGGAGGGAGAGGAATGTGTCACCCGGAGGGACAGATGGGGCTGTGGGATGCACCGAGGGCAACTGCCCTGGTTAGGGGGAGTGTGTAGCTGAGCAGCGAGGGCTGGCTGGCCCTTGGGCACCCCGCTCGAGGGGAATGGAGGCCTGGCTGGTGTCAGCACGGTCTGCAGGCCCTGCCCTGCTCTCGGGCCCTCCTGGGGGCCTGCAGTGGCGAAAGCAGCTTGTGAAGTAGGCGTGAAGGATGAGCTCTGATGATGTTAGCGTGGTTTTTGAGCCAACGTGGTGTCTGTGTGCAAAGAGGGCTTAGTTTGCTTTTTATTCGTGTAGTCCTGCTAAAGGAGCAACATTCCAAAGCTAGAAAATACCAGCACTAAGGTCACTTCTTAAACATTTCTATATGTAACTATAGTGTTTCCATAGGACCTTCTATATGGTGCTTCTCCCAATATCCCCAGGTGATCCTCAGGGTCCTGGAGACAGTGCATCACAAACCCATCTTGAGTTGCAGTTGCAGGGTTTGCCTAGAGAAGAAAAGAAGATTGCAGGGAGAAGGAACTAACTCTCACAACTGTTTAGCCTTGGAAATTCTTATTCAGCCCTTACTGTGTCCCCGAATCAGTGTAGGGCTGTCTGGGACACGCACAGTAACTTCTGGGGAACAGGTTGGGGTCACTGCTTTCCTTTTATTTTTTGGTTTTGATTCCCAGTTTGAGACCATTGGAAGGATAATGAAACTTCTCAGCAAGTTCTTGTTAAGTGAGCTCTAACCTGTCTGTCCTGATTGAGTCAGGGCTTTGGGGAGAAAAAGTTTCATGATATCAAGAGAAACCAAGACCATCGTATCAAGACAGTGTATATGGAGAAGGAGGCTGACCTAAATTAGTTCGAGAGGCTTAATTCTGGTACTTTCTAATTAGATTTTATTTGAGCATCGGATTCAATGTAGTTTTTTTCTCCTAAGGCATAAGTTGTGTGTGCATATGCAATTTTGAGATTTGTCTTAATCTTGTTTTAGGGGAGTTAATAATAGCATTAATACAAGGTCAGGTGAGTATTTACTCATGTAATAGGAGTATCAAGGTGACTGTGTGTTGCCAGGAGAGAGGTGTCTTGCCTTGTTTTGAAAGGTGAGAGCAATTTGGAGTTAGCAACCTAATGGATATGTTTGCTTGTGTTAAATTGTAATTATATCATACACTAATCTTTGTGCTTTTTTTTCCCCCATTTCAGATTTTGATGCATACCAAGGAGATGGTGCAAAAGGTAGTGCTGAGCATTTTTATTACACAATGACCCTTAAAGAGCACGCACATGGTGAACTTTTTTTATTCTAGGAGAATTGTAACCCAAACAGACCTGAAATCACTTCTTAGGATGCCTAGTTTACAAATGTAATCCTTCCTAATGGATTACAGCTTTTTCTTTTCCTAGCACAGATATGATCTAGCCCCTGCTTGAAGCCTGTGTTAGACTGCTGCAAGCAAATTAGCAACAGTGCTAATTAGAGTTTACTCATAGGCCTGTTACACTGTGTGTTCCCAGTGTTCTATTAAGGTTTATTTTTTGGCATCCTTTAAACTGTGTCACATGATGTTCTTTTGACTGTGTGGAGTTCAGCATGGACATGGCCATGCAATTTTTACAGCTACATTGATTCACAACCACTGAAGACATCTGGTTTTCATTTTTTCAAGATAATATGATGTCCCAGGGTGCAACTGCTGATGCTTTGCTGACATTTCTCTTTTCACTTTTTTTTCCTTGTTATGCCTTCCATACACATCTAAAGGTTTTATGTCATTCACTTTGCCTGGAGTTTGCTGCCATGTGTGCAAAATTGCACACAATCTTTTTTTTTAAATGCACATTGGAATTGTTATTTGAA